GGGAAGACAGATTAGGCCAACTATCGCTCAAAGGTGAACCGTCTCAAAAAACTACCAAATAAATAAATTTTAAAATTATACTTAAAAAAAAAAAAGATGGACCTCCTCAGAAACTTGCAGGGGCAGCTCTACTCTGTGGGCAGGGCGGCTGTGTCGGAATTGGCCGATGGCAGTGGGTTGGCTGGGTTTGGCCTGCTCCTCTGGAGGGTTCCTGTCTGCTCAGTCCTGAAAGATTCCACTGAGGGGGATGCGTTCATCACATCTTTCTTCTCGCTGGTTGGCTTGGACGGCTGACCTTTGGGTGAGCAGTGGGGCACTTAACCACCCCACTTCCACGCTGGTTAAGAGTGACCACGAGTATCTTTTGGGGAACACAGCTCAATTCTTAAGCCCCTCCAGGTTAGCCCAGAGTCCTACCTCCAGGCAGAGAGGACCAGCGTGAGCTTCCCACCTGGACAGGGAGTGGTGGGCCCATGACACTGGGGGGGGTGGGTCTTTATCTGGCCCACAGCTGTTGGATACTGGTGAAGTCCTGATGGTCCCCATAGGGGACGCAAGGATGGACATGGAGGGGGCCTGGTGGAAGTTTCTCTTCTCGGGAGCCGTGGCGGGGCCGCGTCCCGCACCAGCACCGCCCCTCTGGACCGGACCTGAGTGCACATGCAGGTGTGAGGGTGGGGCCGCAGCTGCAGCCACTGGGGCACAGAAAGCAGGCTTAACCAGGCTTCTGGGTGGGGCTCTGGGGTATTGTTGGGGATACAGAAAGGAGAGTGTGGTTTGGGGGGGAGGTGGGAAGCTGAGCAGAGGGGGAGATGGAAGCTCGGAGTGAGGGAAGGAGACCGAGGGTGGAATGGGGCTGGCTGTGGGCCAGATGGGGAGCTGGGAGCTGCAGGCTGGGCTGGCATGGGAATGGAGAGGGTACTGGGGAGGGGCTCGTCCAAGGGTCAGGCCCTTTCTGCCCTCAGGTTTACTCTTCCAAAAAACACCTTATGAACCTGCTGGGGGGGTTACGGAGCCTGACACAGGAGGGGGGCTTCGCTCCCTGTGGTGCGACAATGGTATAAACCTGCTCAAGATTCCCCCTGAGTATGGGATCAAGTTCCTGGTCTTTGAGCAGGTAGGAAGGGATGGGTGTCTGAGCCCCATCCTCTGCACCCCCACCCGTGCCCCCCGTCCCCTGTCCGCGTCCTCAGGCCCTTTCCAGGGTGGGATTGAGGCTTGAAGGACCCAAGAGCTGTGCTCACCCTCCTCTCTCCTCTCTCGGGCCCACCCGCAGTGTCAGGCTCACTTCGGAGAGTCCTCGAACCCCACCTTCCAGGAGCGCATCTTGGCGGGGTCTCTGGCAGTAGCCATTTCCCAGACGCTCATCAACCCCTTGGAGGTGAGTGATGAGCTGGCGGTGTCTCGAGATGAAGCGACCATAGCTTCCGCCCCCTGAGCAGTGGCCCTTGAACGATGGTGCAGGTGAGGGATATGGTCGGAACCCCGGGCTGTCAAATGAACCCCCAGATCTGCCGCGTAAGAAGTCCAGCCAGAATGCTCTGAAAGGCAAGGATGGCGAGACTTTGGCTCCTGAACTTTGGACACATTCCTGACGAAGGACTTCATGCTGGGCAAAGTGGAGGGGCAGGGAACAAGGAGATGGGTGGACACCGTGGCTGCAGCCCTGGGCTCAAACATCAGAACCACTGTGAGGATGACGTAGGATGGGGGGTGCTTCCTGCCGCTCCACAGAGTCCCTGTGAGTCAGAACTGAGTCCACAGGACCCACAGCGTATGACAGCAGGAAACTCTGCCCAGACAGGTACACTCAGTGCCCTGTGGGACCACTGTCAATCCATGTCTGGGAAGCTGGCCCTGGTTTTTGGCTGATCAGTCCTCATTTTGTAACCAGGGCATCTTTTTGATCAGCACTGGAACTGCTGGTCACTCAGCCAAAGTCTTGCCATGCTCACTTCTGAGAAGCCTTTGCTGGCATGGCCCTAAGCCTGGCTCCTTCTGGGAACCCATCGTCCGGATACTCTTCTTGCCAATACCAACCTTCCAAGGCACCGACTGATTGGTCAACTGTCACGTGCATATGACATCACCACGGCTCCCAGCTGAGTCCTGCCAGTGGCATTGTGGCTCCTGGACATTTTTCAAGAGGGCTTTTGCAGAAGTGCCCAAGGCAGTGTGTCCCTTGAGTGCTCGAGTGCGGCACCAGTGGGCGCTGGTGGCAGATCCCAGCCAGATGGAAACCCTTGACTGCTTTGCTCTTTGCATCACACTGTTGTTTCTCGGTCCAGTTCTGAGGTCGTTGGTTTCCTCTGTTGGGGTGTCTTCCATCCTGAAGGCTGTAGTCTTTGATCTTCATCGGTAAGTTCTTCCATTCTGCTTGCCTCCCAGAAAGCAAGGCTGTGTCCTCGGCACACAGCAGGCTGCCGGAAGGCCTTCCAGGGATCCTGATGCCACGAGCTGGTTGGTCTAGCCCAGCGTCTAGGGTCGCTGTCTGCACACAGGGACGGGATCCTGAGGACGGGGAG